AAATAAAAATCTTACAAATAAAAAAAGCTCTTTGCTAAATGGATTCAGCACCTAATTCTACCAGACCTTCAAATAACTAATACCAATACTCCTCAAAAATTATTCCATAAAATAGAAAAGGAAGGAACACTTTCAATTCATTTTCCAAAGCCAGTTATACCCTGACACCAAAACCAGATAAAGACTCAACTGAAAAGAAAAATATAGGTCAACCTCTGAAGAATATAGATGCAAAAATTCTCAGTGAAATACTTGAAATCTGAATTCAAGAACACATCAAAAAGATCATCCACCATGGTCAAGTCAGTGTCATCTCAAAGATGCAAGGATAGCCCAGCATACATAAATCAATAAAAGTAATCTATCACATAAATAGACTCAAATATAGGAAACCACATGGTTATCTCATTAGATGCAGAAAAGTCTTTTGACAAAATCCATGATAAACATCCTGGATAAACTAGGGATACGGCTGACATATCTCAGCATAATAAAGGCAAAATACAACAACCCCACAGCCGACATCATGCTAAATCGAAAAAACCTCAATGTATTTCCACTAAAATCAAGAACAAGGCAAGGATGTCCATTCTTTCCACTCCTGTTCAATATAATGCTTGAAGTCTTACCTAGGACAGTAAGACAAATGAAGGAGACAAAGTGTGTACAAAGAGGAAAGGAAATAACACATATGCATTATTTGCAGATGCTATGATTCTATATATAGAAGACTAAACACTCCACTAGAACATTCCTAGAACTGATAAACACAGCCAGGATAGTATCAGGATACAAAATTAGCACACAAAAATTAGTAGTCTTCCTATGAACCACCAACAAACACTGAGAAAGAAACCAGGGAAAGAATTCCATTCACAATAGCCTCAAAATCTAGGAATAAATCTAACCAAGGAAGTGAAAGACTTACACAATGAAAACTTTTTATGGGGCTGAAGAGATGGCTCAGCGGTTAAGAACACTGACTGCTCTTGTAGAGGACCTGGGTTCGATTCCCAGCAACCACATGGTGGCTAACAACCATCCATAACTCTAGTTACAGAGGATCTGATGTCTTCTTCTGACCATTGCACACCACGAGTACACTTACACACATGCAGGCAATACAGTCATACACATAAAATAAGTAAAATAGAAAATTACAAAGAGAAAACTTTTAAACACTGAAGAAAGAAATTGAAGAACATACCAGAAGATGGAAAGACCTCATGCTTGTGGATTGGTATGATAATATTGTGAAAAAGGCCATCCTACTAAAATCAATCTACAGAGTCAATGCTATCCCCAACAAAATTCCAATGCAATTTTTCACAGATATTGAGAAAAAACCCTTAAAATTCATGTGGATATACAAAAACCCCAGGAGAACCAAAACAATCCCCAAAAGAGAACTTCTATCACCATCCCTGATTTTAAGCTATACTACAGAGTAATAATAATAAAAACAGCATGGTGCTGGCATAAAAACAGATATATTGATCAATGGAATAGAACTGAAGGTCCAGATATAAATCTGTGGACCTACAGTCATCTGATTTTTGACGAAGATTTAAAAAAAAAATACACATTGGGGAAAAGACAACATGTTCAACAAACTGTGCTGGTCAAACTGGACAGCGACAAGTAGAACAAAAAAACTAGTTCCTATCTTGCACAAAACTCAGCTCCAAATGAAAAACTCACATATCTCAACGTAAGTCCTGATATCCTGAATCTGATAGATGAGAAAGTATGGAATACACTTGAACTTACAGGCACAGGAAGAGAGTTTTGTGAACAAGAGCCCAATAGCACAGGCATTAAGACCAACAACTGAGAAGAAGGACCACATGAAACTAAAACACTTCTGTGTAGCAAACGACACCATTTGAGTAAAGAGACATCCTACAGAATGTGGAAAAAAAATGTTTTCCAGATGTACATTTGACTGAGGATTCGTGTCTAGAATATAGAAAGAACTAAAAAAAACTCCCCCAAACCCTAAACATCAAGTAAACAAAAAACTCAATTAAAAATTGGGCCATGGAACTAAACAGAGCTCTCAAATGAAGAAATAAAAATGATTGACGAATATATATTTTTTAAAGTTCAATATCCTGCACCTCCCTCTGCTTCCCTGGGCCTGCAGGACCCGCCACAGGCCTCTCTCCTACCCTCAGGCCTCTCTCTGGGGTAAGTCCATCACGCCCTCCACACCTTGACACCCCCAGCCTCATTCACCCTTCCATCTCCCTCTCAGGTCTCTCCTCCGAGTTTGGGCCCTGCCCCATTCCTTGTCTTGGGGCCCCAGACACCTGGGGAACCAATACTGCTCCCTAATCCTTTTCATCCATACCAACATAGTGCCTTCTCTGGGCCCCAGGAGCACTGCTTCTGGGTCTGGTCCCGCCCTCACCTCCCTCTGCTTCCCTGGGCCTGCACCACCCACCAGCCTCTTTCTGGGATGCTGGGGCTGACCTTTCTTCTTCCTGATCCTTTGCATCCAGACCAACCCAGATACTCAGCGCAGTCCCCAGGAATCCTTGAGGACTCTTCTCGCCCCATCTGCCTTTGCATCTCTTGGTGGCACGGCCACCAGCTGCCCTAGACCAGCATCTTTCCTGGGCCCAGCTCCCCGGCCAGTTGAACCCCCAAATTCCTGAGGCCAAAATCTTTCCTGGAGGGATCCAGAC